TGATTATAGATTATAGATAATGATTATAAAAGATTATGGATTATAGACGTGATTATAAGTGATTATAGGGTCGTGTACTTTTGATTATACGAGTTGCAGACCCCTCGTTAATTTTGTTGCCTCGTCGCGTGAGTTTTGCGGGGGAAATCTTAGTGCCACTGAGCCTACTTCCATTGCGCTCATCCAGAATTCGAATTTTTTGGCGGCTTCCCACAATTTGGTTGGCTCGAAGCTGTTGTAGAAATTCTCTTTGCCTACTACCGCGATTATTAGCCGGCTACCCGCGAACAGAGGAATGACTGTACCTATTTTCTGTCTGGCGGTGAAGGTTAGTCCCGTCCTGTATTTTTCTTCTATCGCGAATTCCCACATTGTACTGGCTCGCCCGCACCCTGACGTGACGTATGCGAGGGGCCCATGGTACCCGTCTAGCGCGGGGTCCCCTGTTCGGAAAAATACCGGCATTCGCTATCTGTAATCAAAATCAGGGTTTATGTTGGCTTTTCCATTTTTATTTCTGCCGCTTTGCTGTGTCTTGCTTTCGCGCGGGTGGGGCGAAGGCGAGGGTGGGGGGTCTGTGACTTGTGCGAAGTCCGCGCGCTCCGCTCGGTGCCGGGTTTGCAATGGCCGCGCCCCATTTTGTCGCGATTTTCGCCATCTTTGCACGCTCTTGTGGCTGCTCCCTGTTCCCGCCTTTCTGCTGCTGGGGCTGGGCCTGTGGACTGGCACTGTCCTGCCTTATGGGCCGCGGGCGGGGCCGCCGGTGGTCAGCTGGAAGGAAATTCGTTAGCTTTGGCCGTTGACCTGAGAGGGACGGAGCGGGAGAAAGAGAGAGAGAGAGAGAGAGAGAGAGAGAGAGAGAGAGAGAGAGAGAGAGTTTAGCTGGCCTTTCTCTGCTTTTGCTCCCTTGGCTCGCTGCTGCTCCAATTGTTTAAAAAAATGGTTCGCTGTCCATCTGCCGCGGTGGCGCGATGCTGGCCTGCCGACGCGGCAGGGTGTCTGGCTTGTTGACCTTGCCCTGTCCCCCCTTTTTTTTGAAGTGGCCTGTGCCGCCCCGATGCTCTCGGTTTGTTGTTGTTCTCACCCGTGTTTACCCGGTGTTGCCCCCTCGCGAGAAAGTTATGTGACATATCTTTGGTACGCTCCCTCTTGGCTCTGCGGTCCCTGCGCCTCTGCTGCGGAGCGCTGCGGGAGGGGAGGTCACATGCCGGCTGCACGGCATGTGTGTCGGCTCGGCCCGGCTGCTCCCGGCCGCGCCGACTCGTGTGTGCGTCGTGGTCCCCTGCTGGGCTGCCCCGTCGGTTTGTCTCCTTTTGGCGTCCTAGCCTCGGTTTTTAGGCAGTCGTTTATCGGCTGACTTTTACGTTCGAAAATAAGCCAGCCAGTTCAAATGCAAGCCAGCCAGCCAGTAAGCGCACCCAGCCTCAGCCCCAAGCCAAGCGCAAGCAGCCAGAGCCCAGCCCCAGCCCAGCTAGTATGCCAGCGCCCAGCCCCGGCCCCATCCCAGCTAGTATATATGGGCGTGTGTGCGGGTTTGGGGTGGCAGGTTCAAGAGTTCAGTTCAGTTTCAGTTCAGTTTTCAGGCGCGCGATGTGTCGATCTCTATCCGTGCGGTGCGAAGCCTCAACGCTGAACTAGGAGAGCAACGGTGGAGAGGAGGTTGCTCGACCCGCTCGCGCGCTCCAGCCCGGGCCGCCCCGCCCCGTCGTGATGTTTTGAGGAGAGAGAGAGAGAGAGAGCACATGGCCTCTACGCGCCGCGCCTGGCGCCCCCCTCCCCAACCCGGCTGTGCATATG